CGCGTTCAACTTGGCTTGTCATACAATTCGCGTCTTCGCAACTCCATCCTCTTTACCATCGCGCCATTATAACTTCTTAAGTAACATCCTCGCAATTTCGATTTAATAATAAGTAAGCAGTGAATTGTAAAAGTTTAAAATAATGGTTGAATGAGAAATGGGATCGTTAAAAGAATAAGTAGTGAATTGATGAATGAATGAGAAATGAATGAATCGTTCGCGGTGGCGTTGATGTGAATCACAAGCGGGAGTTGGTCTAATTGACCTGCAGGCCAACACGGATCAAGGATACACCTACGCTTAATCAAGCTCTGATGCGGCATACCGAGCAATCAACACGAAAATAGAAACGGTTTTTATTAATAAATTAGTTGACTCATAACTTGTTATATTTAATTTTTTTTTAATCGCTTTGAATGTCTTTTCATCTTTATAGATTTAACCAGTTAGATATCGGATCGTTTACATACAATCCGATAAAATGTTTGTACGAATTATAAAGATCGGTCCAAAGCGATAGTGGCACCGCGTTTATACGAAGCTGTCACGTTATCGAAAGCGGTCGTCTCGTTGCCACGTCACTGCTGCTGCCCCCCCGTCAAAAAGAAGAAAGCCAAGAGATCGAATAGATTCCTAATTAGCCGGACAGAAATTAGATTATCTTACGTGTATCGAAGGAGAGTAAGATGGCTTTTTGAGAGGTTAACAAAAAAATTTTGGAAAAGAAAAAGAAATCTCAACACAAAAGATTTCTCGTCATTGTTTTTGGAACAATTGAAAGAAAAGAAAAACGGTGGCAATCGTTTTGGGCGTGCGCTCGGCCAAATCATCAGTGCTTTATTGGGACATTGACGTTCCCTTTTGTAAGTTATCTCAGTTGGTGATGTTGACCTCGTTTACTCTCAAAGAACTGTCGTACCCGGGAGTCAAGTTCTTCTTCCTTTAGTTAGATTTATGCGTTTTCAAAGATTAAGCGTGTCTCATTTTGACCTCCTTTACTACTATAAAGAAAATTTGAAAAACTATCCGCACCAAAACGTTACGTTTTCATGTATTGGAGGCAACGTTAAATTTAACGGTCGATGTATTTATTTGTTCGCCACACGGTATTAGTCTTTGATGATTTCGTCCGCGCGCTTCTTCTGGGAATCGCTCAAGGAAACTCTCGTCAAAGGTCGATGTGTATTTGAACGACGGGACTGTTTGGAAACTGCTGTTTTCTGTTTGGGTACTATTTGGCTAAAAAGGGCGACCAAGCCGGAAATATGAAACTTCAAACGGAACGCTTAGTTTCGTTTAGCATCTGTTCGTTTCTGTTGCTCTCACATACTAATCTCTATAATATTATAAACAAAAATCGAATCAAATCTTTTATTTAGATCTTAAAGTCTTCAAGTAGTGATCTTTGACCCCAACTCGAACGCGCCACGAATACGACCGTATATTTCACTTGCTCATTATTGCACTTAAGTCGTAGCAATTGTCCCATTACCGAAAGGAAGTGGGGTCATAATATTTATTCTACCAACTCGTGCTCGGTCGCTGTCGAGAGGAGAACCCGCCGTAGAAAACCAACAAATGCCGTTTAATTCGTTCGAATTAAACAATTTACCACTCTCTGCTTGACGACGACTACGACGACAACGTTCTTCTCGTCCCGTTTCTCTTCAATCACTACAATTGTTTCGTCAGCTGTCGCCTTCTTAGTGCTAAAACGGAAGACGACAACAGCTGGTTTTGGTCCGAATTGTTACACAAGATCAGAAGGCACGAGTCTAACCTGATCTTTGAACTCTACAAATAATTATAATTTAAATGAAATTTTTCACATATATTTCGCTCGTACGGTTGAATTGTCTTTTTGGTAATCAGTTCGGAAATGTATTGTGAGTCCCAAGTCCGAGTCTCGTGCCGAACGGGTATTAATTTCGGTTCCAGCGTGAGCCCGACACCTAACATATGTAGTTCTGTGTTAAATATGTTGTCTCTCGAATGCGAGAATGCCTCGGCATTCGATTGGGTTAACTTAATCGGCGGGTATCGATCGACGCGCGCATTTTAAATAATTACTTTTTCCTCGGCGACCCTCTTCTTCTGTGCGTCTCTGTATGCACGCGGGATTCCCGCTATTATCCATAAACCATAAACACATAAGTGAAACGATCGTGCGATCGCGACACCTGAACATTAAATTATTCAGCGCCGAACGACCGGTTTCAATATTTCAGGGGCGACGGTGATCTTTGACCCCCGACTTCTCGCCCCCTCTTTATTCCATGTAACTACTTTTGTTTATTTATTAACAAGGGAGTTAATGCCGTTTTATGCTTTTCATTTTACTAACTAACAACATAAACAATCATGCGCAGATTTTTGTTGACTCACTTCCTGTACAAATCATTCATTAATAAAACCGGGTAAATAATTGTTCTGTTCAAAGCTTCATAGTCACAATTTCGTTCGTCACTCCATTATCTGGTTAACAGGTTATAGTTCAATTATTTACTACGCTTCATTCATGCTCGCTAAGAATTAATCTCAAGTTTTTTTTACATTCTAAATCATTTTTCGTGTACCTTTTTAAATTTTTGATAAATTACCCAACATTTTTCTTTTTATCTTCTAGTGATAGATAAGTAAGTATTTGAGACCTCCCCGAAAAAGGTTTCGACTCGAAAATCGTTTCACGAGAATTTTAGATTCCGCACATAAGTGGGTTTCCTTCTTCTTCGTGTGCCGTCGGCTTCTTTTGATGGTGACGCGACTCGACGGCTAAGAACGCGCTTGGTGTTGAATATTTTGACACGGCCATGTGTTAACCGTTAGGTGTCTATGAAAAAAAAGAACCTACAATAAGACGAAGACTTTGATGTTATCCGGGGTGCGGTTTTTGAAACTGCGAGGTTTCAATTATCCCTAGATGCACTGCTATCGCGTTTCTTCGAGTGTTTTCTAAAACAAGGGATGTTTGTAAACGAGGCCAGATGCGAGCTTTTAATATTTTGACGTTTACAAGATGGTACTAATATAAATATAGATTTTTTTAAAGACATAATTCAAGTTTAATTGGCCAAAGAACTGATCCAATAACGGGGTCCCTTTCATTGTCGACAAATTTCTTTTCATTCTTCTAAAACCGGGCGTTAGTATATTTAGGTAATTCGAGATGTTTTTCTCTGTTTATCGTAAACGGGGCGAAAAAGACGGTTCTCGTATGTACGGCCGTTGACCGGGGTTGATGTTTTTAAAATACAAACCCCACAAAAGGGGGCACAATGTTGCTCTTTTTCGTTACTACAATGAAAAGATACCTTCGTCAGTGTACCACCGAAAAACTCAGTCGTGCGATGCTATCGTGGTAATTCTATACTTTACCGGTAATTGTTAAGAATCTATAAGAGGGCTGATTATTTATCTACCAGAGATCCGGTTACTTTTGCACTGTGTACAAATAAAAAGAAGATTGAGAAAATTTAAAAGGTTATTTTTACATCAAATGAAAGTTAAAAGCCTTCAAAGTTTCAAAATCAATTCTGATTGTTTTAAATAACTTTCGTGGCAATTTTAACTATCGTGACGAACTGCAGTAATAATGACTGGAAAAAGTGATATAAAATTGTTTAAAATGAAAGAGTTCAAGTTCAAAAATCTATTCCACTACTACACTCTCATTTGTGTATAATAGTACAGAAATGTTCAATGGCATTTCCTCTACAACAAATCTAGAGTTGTTGATTGGCAAAGAGTGTGTAAGAGGATGTACTTGAAGTTTCTTGGATATATATATCTTGAGGAATCAACTCGAATTATTTAGGAAAGTCCCTGTATTGAGAAGTATCTGACTCTTTCCCCTAGAGGAAGATAAAATGAGCACTTGAACAATAAGGAGCTACAATACACGTCTCTTGCGGATATACTTCTTGCAGAGATCCATTCTTCTCCCAAATAGCAAGCAGGGTCATTTGACCTGCAGGGTGCTACAAAGAGTCGTTATGGAAACTGTACTATAATAAAACTCTAGCCTTAAAACAGAAGAAAGGAGTCGCAGTCAGAGTCGTTAGCTACGCGGATGATCTTGCTATTGTTCATTGGGACTCAAACTGGAGGGATCAAAGTGTAGGTGGTGTCATCAACATTAAAGTGGTTGACACAAGAATCCATAGTGTACTGCATAAGGTATTTGGGTGTAAAGCTCTTAGAATGATGGCTCATTTAAAATCCATATTTCAAAAAGCAATGAATATATAGGTAAAATGTGATATCTTAACTGATGCCCAGCATTGGCAGACCTTTCTACAGAAAGAGAAGAATGCCCCACTTATGAGAATGTTTTGAAATATAAAAAATATGTCAACATTCTAAGGAATTTCTAAAGGAAATACACTGATCCTGGCAAGCTACCCACCATTGGACCTCACAGTCTGGGAGAGGACAAGGAACTGGTAACATAAAGAAGCCAGTAAAACAGACATAAACCAGTAAATGATGGCGAACTGGAAAAAATGTTGGCAAGAATACACTGGATGGGTGAGATTGTGATATGAAAAGATGTCATTATAGCAGTTCTGGCTCTTTTATGTATTACTAATCAACGGAAGCGATAAAGAGAAAATAAATTCTACGTTTGCTAATGTAAATTACTTAAATTAAAAATTTAGAAGTGATGCGAAAATAAATTGTATACTTTGTATGTAGTACAAATAGTCAAGATATTAGCCAAAATGTCAGAGAAGAATTTAAACAAGTTAATAATAATACACTGTTGTGCGCTCAGTGTATTATTTCGTTTTGCCATCATACAGAACTTTTAAGTGGCCATCTGAAGTTCATAAACTTCTATGAACTTCAGATGGCCTTTTGGAATAATTGATATTACCAACATGCTTTGCTATATCATCTAAACATTTAATGTGCAATATAAAAGAAATCGCGATGTCAGAAAGATAGGGTATCTTGGTATCAATTAACACAGTTATTAAAAGAAATAAAAACACAATAAATAATTTTAATCAACTTTTAATTCAGTATCAACATAAAATCATCATTTCTTTCTGCATTATTTTAGATTATTATTTACAAAGTTATAACCTTATCTATTTACAAAACTTTACAAAATATACATCCTAATTATAAAATAAATAAAATTACATTGTTTATTATTTTTGGTACATTACGCTCAACGTATTATTTGATAACATTTTGAGATCATCTTTATTACACTAAGCATTTAAAATTGATTTTCTAAATTAACTCTGCCTTTGAGCGACGATTCTAATTGGCCTAAACGCTTCCGGACTAACAGTTCTTTCGGGCGAAGAAGCGCTTGAAGTCGTGCTAGTCGGTGATAATTGAACGGAGCTTTGATGGTGATGTTGATGATGTAGTGATGACGATAACATTTGATTCGATGCAAATCTTAAATAGTCCATTCGTTGAAAATAAAGTTGTTGTTCGTAAACGGAAGATGGTGTTGATTGTGGCGTTCCAATTGAAGTTGATCCAATTGGACCAATTGGAGTTGGTTTTGGGATGTTTCCGGGGTAATATCGGTGATATAATGAAGCAGCCAAAAATGGGTTTTGATAAAAATTAATTAAATGAGTTGGAGGATATGGTAAATTTGATTGGAATTGTCCTAAACTCATTGATCTTTTAAAAGCGGCTAATCTTGATCTGGAAACCGCCGTAGATCTTCTTCGCAGTTTTCCGGTTGATCCCCCGATTACGATGTCATCGGCGCTTGCGTCTAACATCCAATAATTTCCTTTTCCGGGATCATCGTAATTTCTTGGTACTTTTACGAAACATTTATTTAAACTTAAATTGTGGCGAATTGAGTTTTGCCAACCTTGCTTATTATCGCGATAATAAGGAAAATTATTCATGATGTACTCATAAATTCCGTTTAATGTTAATCTACCTCCGGGACTATCTCTTATTGCTAACATAATTAAAGCGTTGTAGCTATAAGGAGGTTTTTCTTTCTTTTTTTTCTCCTCATCAACAATTTCTTCATCTTCGGACTTACTTGAACCTCCACTTGATGGAGTTTTTGGTGGTGGAGGTGTTGTGCTCGTAACATCCAAAGAATCTTCTTCGTCAATTTCCGGGGTTGATCTACCAACTTTGTGATTTCCTTCCAAAATCGAACTAATTGAAAATGAAATTCGATGCGGAACTGAAGATACCATCACTTCTTCCTCGGTTTTAATCATTTTAACACTTAAAAGTTTTTGACACTGTTTTTATTTTTTTACTTTTTGTTGCGACAAGACACGTTCAGCGAAGAGGGTCTTTCTGAACTGAATGTTTGGCTCCGGTGGAAGGGAGCTTTATATACGCAGGCCCGGAGAAATATGTACCGTTAGGAACCCGGAGGATGAAACAGCCAATGAACGAACAACTCGAACAGGACGAGAGGGACGAATTCGTCGGGGACTGGTTGAAATTATAATTGCGGGTGTGTTGACGAGGATCAATGGGATGGGAGAAACACCTATTTACTATCAACGAACACACCAACAAAAAAGAAGTTTTAGGAGGGATATTAAAAACATTTTTGATTGTTTTTCGAAAATAAAAATATTCTATAAATTTTTTTTAAGATAATAGCAAGACATGCGGGTAAATACTATCACAAATTTATTTGTAACAATGTTTCTTCACACAATTAATCTTAATCGATAGGATAATGGTTCTTTTGAAACGTGACATATCTCTATGTTGGTCCATTGTAAACAATTAAAAGGAAATCTATATAAAGTGTTAGTAATCGCTATATAAGAACACAAAGCTTGAACGAATTTTTTGATAAAATTGACTTTTTAAAGTTTATTTCTTATTGTCGTCTTAAAACAGATAATAATAGTTAATATACATAAATATTTGTCTACTTCGTTATCGCGCCAAGTTAATTACCACATAGGAAAAGTAATTTTTCGGTAAAACAAATAAGTAACCACGATTATTGACAAATCGTTTTATGGAAAAGAAAGAAGTCTTAATGTTTCTACGAAATATAGGATTTTTTTTTCGGTTTAATTAAAACTAGAATAAAAATTCAGGTAGCCAAAAATTGCAACAAAAGCCACAAAAGGCAAATCTTTGTTTTTATCCATCTCAGCTTAATAACTTCTATTATTATATGAACAGAGGTTTTACGGTTATATTTTAAACAAAAATCTTATTGTGGTTAAAAAGTACGTGACCTAACTTAATTCATGTTTTTCATAGAAGACATAATAATCGTAATACGATGACGTGATTAAGAACGCATAATCGTAAAGGTTCTGCCGACGGCTAATTGCGTGTACGTGAACATTCCATCAGTTAATGTGCCGGTAATTAACCTGTTATTATTTACGTACTGGTGATTCAGCTAATTACAGGTGATTAGAGTATCAAAAACGACAACTAATGTGTATACTGCGTCCCCGGATTGTCTCATATTTAAAAAACACATTTTAACTTATGTACAATTATGTTTTTAATTATTGTATATTGTTATTTTAACTTCAATTGGAACGCCACAATCAACACCATCTTCCGTTTACGAACAACAACTTTATTTTCAACGAATGGACTATTTAAGATTTGCATCGAATCAAATGTTATCGTCATCACTACATCATCAACATCACCATCAAAGCTCCGTTCAATTATCACCGACTAGCACGACTTCAAGCGCTTCTTCGCCCGAAAGAACTGTTAGTCCGGAAGCGTTTAGGCCAATTAGAATCGTCGCTCAAAGGCAGAGTTAATTTAGAAAATCAATTTTAAATGCTTAGTGTAATAAAGATGATCTCAAAATGTTATCAAATAATACGTTGAGCGTAATGTACCAAAAATAATAAACAATGTAATTTTATTTATTTTATAATTAGGATGTATATTTTGTAAAGTTTTGTAAATAGATAAGGTTATAACTTTGTAAATAATAATCTAAAATAATGCAGAAAGAAATGATGATTTTATGTTGATACTGAATTAAAAGTTGATTAAAATTATTTATTGTGTTTTTATTTCTTTTAATAACTGTGTTAATTGATACCAAGATACCCTATCTTTCTGACATCGCGATTTCTTTTATATTGCACATTAAATGTTTAGATGATATAGCAAAGCATGTTGGTAATATCAATTATTCCAAAAGGCCATCTGAAGTTCATAGAAGTTTATAAACTTCAGATGGCCACTTAAAAGTTCTGTATGATAGCAAAACGAAATAATACACTGAGCGCACAACAGTGTATTATTATTAACTTGTTTAAATTCTTCTCTGACATTTTGGCTAAAATCTTGACTATTTGTACTACATACAAAGTATACAATTTATTTTCGCATCACTTCTAAATTTTTAATTTAAGTAATTTACATTAGCAAACGTAGAATTTATTTTCTCTTTATCGCTTCCGTTGATTAGTAATACATAAAAGAGCCAGAACTGTTATAATGACATCTTTTCATATCACAATCTCACCCATCCAGTGTATTCTTGCCAACATTTTTTCCAGTTCGCCATCATTTACTGGTTTATGTCTGTTTTACTGGCTTCTTTATGTTACTAGTTCCCTGTCCTCTCCCAGACTATAAGGTCCAATGGTGGGTAGCCTGCCAGGATCAGTGTATTTCCTTTAGAAATTCCTTAGAATGTTGACATATTTTTTATATTTCAAGACATTCTCCTAAGTGGGGCATTCTTCTCTTTCTGTAGAAAGGTCTGCCAATGCTGAGCATCAGTTAAGATATCACATTTTACCTATATATTCATTGCTTTTTGAAATATGGATTTTAAATGAGCCATCATTCTAAGAGCTTTGTCCAGACTTACACCCAAATACCTTATGCAGCCTACACTATGGATTCTTGTGTCAACCACTTTAATGTTGTTGACACCACCTACACTTTAATCCCTCCAGTTTGAGTCCCAATGAACAATAGCAAGATCATCCGCGTAGCTAACGACTCTGACTGCGACTCCTATCTTCTGTTTTAAAGCTAGAGTTTTATTATAGTACAGTTTCCATAACGACTCCTTCTAGCACCCTGCAGGTCAAATGACCCTGCTTGCTATTTGGGAGAAGAATGGATCTCTGCAAGAAGTATATCCGCAAGAGACGTGTATTGTAGCTCCTTATTGTTCAAGTGCTCATTTTATTTTTAATCACATTTTAACTTATGTACAATTATGTTTTTAATTATTGTACTTATTACCATCTTGAAACATGACATTTCCATCTTTAAAAATGACGTTTTAAAGTCAATTTTACAGTACACGCGTTTACACAGTCACACGAGGCGGACTATGAGTCCGCAATTACCAATAGAAACGATATACACTGCTAACGCTAGTCCTAGAACTAGAAACATTGGGGTTTAGTCGTTTTGAAAGAAGAACGGCTGAACCCAAAGGTTTCTAGTTCTAGATTAAGTGTTGGTTCTAGTTTTAGTTTTTTAAAAGATATCTAGAGTTCCCTGTAGTTCTGTACCTACTGGACAAGATGTCTACACCATCAAAAATCGTCGCTAGGTGTCAAAAGTAGTGACGCTATGATCTATTAATCAGGTTGATCAACTTGTCTTTTATCTTTAGTTCGTTCAATATTGAAACGTTTGTTGGGTTGCAACAACTTTCCTGCAACAATCGGTGTTGTTCATACATAGTACATCATTTTTTGATTATTGAAGTATTGAAGATATTTAATGGAAGTTTATTAGTTTAAGTATACCTATATAGGATGAAACAAATATTTTAAATTTTGTTGAATGCGATACTTAAAACATCAAATCTTAAAGATAAAAAGTCTGTCCGATTCATCTTTAAGATGTCGTAATATAACACAAAAAATATACAAGCGATCACGTTCGGGTTTTAAATTTCAGTGCCCGTCTCTTCAAAAACAAAGTATTCTTTTCGACATTAGCATTAGAAAAGAATCGAAATGGACGAAGGCCGTATGTTTCCTCGGTCTTGGTTTACGAGGTCGGTTAATTGTTAAACGGAATTGCTTAATAAAAACGTTGATCCTGCCGTTTTCCTCTTCTCCCTAATATAATACATTTATACAGGAGGGGCATTACACGCGATAAAACCAACAAACCGACGTGTTACTAGGCCTCCGACTGGGATTTTTATGCCACGTCCAAAGAAGACTCTTCATAAATCACCAAAAACGAACAGGTATTTTATTTACTTTTATGTTTATTCCTAGGAAAGCTTATAAATAATGGGACTAGTAGAATTTTTAACACTGAAATCGTTAAAAACGTCCAAGTTTCGTCGTAAAATGATTGGAGAATTAAATTTTGTTGTTCCTTTTTAATGTCTTTTTTAAAATGTCCCAACAGAAATGTTACTGGGAAAAGCAAATCATTTTAAAAACGTTCTCTCCTTCGGATAGAAAAGAATGTAAAGGGTGGAGTTTCGTTTTGTGAAAAAGTCAAAAAGTTAAAAGTCGGTCATCGAAAATCCCACAATTTAAACCACACCGATGCCCCTTCATTCTTTCCCGTTAAGCAGATTGAATTGTCAATAATAAGGGGCTGAGAATTTTGACGAGTCGATGACAGTGCGAAAACCAGAACATATTGTTAAAAGTTAGAGAAAGGACACCGCGTCGTCACCCTTAAAACCAACTTCGTTTTCATCTTACTTTGAGGAAAAATTTAAAAACACAATGGATTAAATAAAGTTACCTGAAATTTTGAAATTTAGATATAATAAAAGATTTTACTTGGAGATCTTTCGCGTGGTGCTCCAATTTTCTACAACAGAAAAATAACGACACAAACAATTCGTTTTACTGCCGAGCGCATATTTCGGTTTGCTACTGTCCTTTATTGTTAAGAAACAATTCTCTTCTATTGTGAACTATTGTTTTCATTGTCACTGTTGGCTAACCTACATCTTACTCCACGCGGTGGTTGTGACCCAGTTTTAAAAATTGCTCTTTTACACCCCTTCTTCGAATTCGAGCTTTCTACGCCCGCGTTTCGGTTATTTATGGTTTGTTTGAAAAACGCAATTGTAACCAGGGTATTGTCTTCTATTTTTTCCTCTTTTAGATGGATTTGCTACCGATTCGACCGATTGTGGGGTTTCGTTTTCTGTGTACCTATTGTTGAAAAGTTTAATCTCGTCGTCGTTGAACACCGGATACGGGGATTATGAAAGAAGAAAATATGGATTCGAGTGTTGACAGTGAAATCCGAATGGATTAGAGGACTTGAAGGTTTTGGTTCTTGCAATAAATTTATTTGTGACGTTGGATTTAAAGTATATGGGAA